CAGACACAAAACTTCGAGTTAATTATCGACATCCAAAGGATGAAAGTGGTGTTATTACCATGGGTAACTTTCATGTGTTTTTCAACATATGGATTTGTACGGTAATTGTACCTTGCTTCGTGTTTTTCCTTGAAAAAACCATTTTCTACATGGCACATCAGCCGAATTCACATAAAATCAGCCATTTCTTTGAAATGTTAATTGACGGAGATAGACACTTTTTACTTGATGATATCAGATTCGAATAAAATGTGAGTGCTGATCAATTGAGTAGTTTGGAGTGAAAATTTTATACAGAAAAGTTGCGCGGAAAAATGTCGATGATGAATGACCAGAAAAGGGATAGCCATATAGTATACGGTATAGTAAACTATAGTGAACTATATATAGCTATCTCTTTTCATTTGACATTTTTCCGCGCAACTTTTCTGTATTGCATTTTCGCTCCAAACTACTCCGTTTGGCTTCGAATTCAGAAAAAATGGATTTTTGATGCACACAATGTATTTATAAAGATCTGATCTGTACAGACTACAGATCATACGCATGATTGCAGTAAAATTTCATCACAATTAGGAGTATACATTATAATGTATTACGTCATGAACTTTGAATTAAAGCCTTTGAACTAATGTATCACATTAGTTTTATCCATGAATAATGGACGAACACAACAAAACTAATATTCATTCAAATTACGCACGTTCAGCGTTTATCACAGAAATGTATGACAAAAACGCAATAAATGTTATTTGTACTGCTAGTTTGAAATTGTTTTCATTTTAAAAGTATACAAACTTTGGTCGTTTTCCAAGTTGAAATGGTTACATTTAAATGTGGCTATTCCGCTTGGGCATGCATAAAATAGCTACCTTGGTGCCCAAACTATATCCATTACAGATTTTAGGCCCAAGTGATTTCTCTTTGTCGGACAAGTTGAATGGATACATTAATGCAACGGGTGTGCCCCTAGGTGCGGTGGCCTAATTGAAAAATGGATATCATAAGCTGATGACCAGATTACATAAAAAATAAAACTAACATAAAGACGATCATTTGAGTCAAATTGCAATGGATTGCGCAAAAATCAGTGTCCAGCTTGAAATTCCAATCATTTCAGAGCGAAACTTTTGATTGAATAATAACAGATTTGTTCCAAGGCAAGGAATTGAATGCGATTCTCCATTTTTCCTTTTAAAATCCACCAAAAAATTTAGGAATTATATAAGCAAATATATCAGGCAATGTCTACAAACACTTTTCTGGTTACGGTTTTGCAATAAAATCGTATTATAAATCATCTATATTAAAATATGTCCTAAATGTGATCGCCATATTGCAAGCGATGAAAAAAAAAAACTAACAGTGTTTGTTGTGTCCATGTCTATCGAAATTGTTTGTTTTTACCGATTTGATCGATTATAGAGTTTTATCGAACGAAAATTGGAACGAATAAAATAACGATGTCATGAATTTTAGATACATAATGATGGCTACCATACAAGTCCAGCGCATACGAATCTGCGAACACCGCTGGTGCCTCGTGACTTAGGAGAGGATTTTAGTATAGGATACGACGAAGAACAGCCAGCTATCCCATTAGATCCGAAACTACCGAAGAATGCAAAGTAAGTTGAAATGACCCAAAAAAATTTCAAGTTATCCATTATCATGCGAAATTCGGTGGCAGTAAGTGTCTTTGTTTAGAATCAATGTGTGTGTGTATAGGATGTCCCATTCAATTAACAACAACTACAACATCCAAAAGCAAAAAACCAATTAAAATTGTTCTCTCTCATTTATTTTCAATAATTTCTTTTCGTGTTTTTTTTTATCATTTGTTTTTTTCTTTTTTGACAAAAGATTTAGCACAAGTGAAAACGGATTGTTTGTGCAACCAAATAAAAGGTTAGATTTAACATGAACATATTCATTTGAACTAGCTGTGTGTATGCACGCACCATTTCCTCTCTCGGCTAAACTAATACATATTTTTTTTGTTCACACAATTCGGTATTGCATTTTGTACAAACAAAACAAATTTTATGTGAGAGTGCACTAGAATGTACACATTTCGATACGTTCGTTGAACTTTCTTACTTTAAATACGTTGAGTTGAAGAATGAAATGAACGTTGATAGGCATAAATTATTCAAACGGGAACATTCCGTTCAAAAATGTCATTCATTTTTAAATCAAAAGTATTTTGCTTTTGAGAATTGAGAACAAAAAGGAAGAAGAATAAGAAAAGAAGCAAAAAATTTAATTCTTGGCCTTATTTTATTACCGAAACCAAAGACATTCATTGATGCGTTCATTGAACCCAGCTCCGAAGTAAGAAACTTCTAAATCCAAAATCATTCGATTTGCTTAGTTCAATTATTTACCCAAACTGAAAGTCTTCGTAGCGAAATCTTAGATTTCGATTGATTTATTCATGCGACACATCACAGTCTCAGTTATCGATCTTATTTAGTAATGCATTAGATCAAACCTTTAGCTACATCAAATCGATGCAATAGCCTCATCTCGATAGCACATAAAAACCTCCTCTGAAACCATAAAACCCAATCATACCCTAGCATAATTTGTATTGTTCGAAGACATTGTTGGCGTTTATGCACGGCCGGTAGTCGCTCGTTCAGAACGAAAGCCACACTGCGTGTGTGTGTGTGTGTGTGTTTGTATGTCGTTTGAATGCACATTAAAGGACCTAATAAAACGTGACCACATGACATGCGATATATATTGGAGCGTTGTAACGGCAACGAGACGCAGAGTGTGTACTAATGAACGTTGTTATTTTGAATAAACGCTGACAAAGAATCTCAGTGGCTGTCGCAAGGGGGTGTTCACAACAATGAGCATTGTGAGCATTCACTCACTCAGTCGGCAATGGAGCATTCGCGGCCGACAAGGTTCAATGTTCAATGTGAAGTAAAAGCCGTCGTCTGTTATTCATCAATCCGGAAACTAATTAAAACAAAGAAATCTGATGTTTATGCTCTTTCTCGCACTCCCTTCTGCTCGTTCATTTATTCGACAGAGAAATTACATCGTATCAGCCCAATATCGTTGAAGTGCTCATGAATTTTTGGCAGCATTCAATCAAACTGATGGAAAAGTTTGGATTTCATTGGAAAATGTAGAACAATTTTAATCATTTGCAAAAATAAACGAAACAAATATATATGATTTCAATCAAAAGCCGTCGAAAATGAGATAAAATGTAAATGAATGCAACGAATTGAAGCGATGGCCTGGCCATACAATGTTTGTTATTCATTTGGAACATTCACTGGAAATTAAATTATGGCGAAGAGAACATGTCCAAAAATGGTAATACGCACAGCCGAATGAAATCACTCTCTCTTGCTCTTTGCTTGCGCTCACGATGGAAAAATTACATCCGATCACCATGTGTACAATAGAACCTAAGCCATCGAAGTACACAAGTGCCAGGCGATAGTTGTTCTTGGTACGCGTAACACGGAATACGTGCAAATCTCTTCTGCTCGCCTTTGTCTATGCACCCTTTTTTCTATTTTTCGTTTTATTCTTCATCCATTTCTCACTCTCTCTCTCTCTCTCTCTCTCTGCCTGTCTCTCGCCAGCATCGCAATAAACGTACACAGTTGTTATGCGCACACACAATCGCACACCGAAATGCAATCGAATGGTATAAATTCCAAGCGAACGCTGTGTGCGTGTGTGTATGAGTTTTTGCGTATCTGTATTGAATTTGGTTATTGGTTAGCATTAGGGGATTACATGTCGTTTTGCACAATTCCAGTTCACCACTACATCGATTCGGATTCAAAGTCTATTGAAAATGCGCTCGTGCACTCACACAAACATACACAATCGGTGTCGCTCTTTTGCTCTCTTGAGTCCATTGTGAAGAGCATTCATTTTCCCGTGCTTCCTGTGTGTACGCGATTCCATACGAAGAATCGGGAATATATTCCTCTATAATAATACGTACGATATATATGCTGCGACGCGCGTTCTCTCGTTCGCTTGCTTGCTCGCTCGCTCGTTTCGATGACGACTTGGGGTGAGATAGCGAACCATTTCAATACAAAGCAATTTCAAACATAAACAGCTTCGGCTATTATCAAGCAGCAGCAGCATCGTTTCTGTCGTAACAACAGAGACGAGAAGCAGCAGCGCAGCATCGTCACAGCCATTTCACTGGAAGTGTAGTCAGTACTTAGTCTGCGTTAGGTTTGATAAAACCGTCGACCCAGCAAAAGTATCATTGTACGATTTAAATCGAAAGAGAAAAAAAAAGAATATTTTTTTCTCGCGTAAAATATTTTTTCGGTAACAAAAAGTGGAAATTCTTGAGACTAAATTTTGGAATTGTGTAAACATAATACGCAATATAAATCAAGTGTTTGTTTTTTGTTGTTGTTGTTGTTCGAAAATGAAAGAGTTTAAATTTTATGTGTGCTAGAAGAAAAAAAGAAGAAGAACGGAGACTCAACCATTTCCACTGTTATCGCTTCACACATCATTTTTTCCCATTCGCATCTATCTCTCGCAGGCCGAGAATAAACAGAGAAAATTATTCCTTCGTACTTTTTTTTATCGGTTCTTTGTGTACACGGTTGTGTCGTATTTTTGTTGCTGTTACGTAACTCATTTATTGATATCGATGCCTATATCCATTCCACCATTATTCGACAGTGTCGAGATAAACAAATTGTTATGATACGAGTGGATACGATTTCTTATTTGTTTCTCCTTCCTCTCGCCTCTCCGATTCTTTCAATCCCAGTAATAAAATTGGTTTACGATAGAAATCGTGTCAAGTACATGCAAAGAACAGTTTCAGTGGAAGAGAAAAAAAATTATAAATTATGCTGCAGAGAAAAAAAGGAACACGTCGTTGAATGAAAACTTAAAAATTTATGATGCGCAATTCGAACAGGTCTAAAAATGGATGTATCCATCAATCGGGGACAGAAGTGAAATGTTATAAAAAAAAACGTCGCATAAAATATTCAAGCCCATTCAAAAACGTCCTTGAGATGTTGCAACACAGTTTTTTTCTTCTCTTCTTCTGTTTGTTTGCGCTGAACTGCATAAATGGGAAGCGTTATTTTTGTGTTTGCTTTTGTTCCCGTTTTGCTGTTAACCGGATATTGAGTTTTTTTCTTCGCTCTCTTCCATCTCGTCGATTAGTTTGCACAGATGCCTGTGCAATGATGGTGCTTATCTATGCCATCGCATCCCATTGAATATATATATAGTTGGCACTAATTCCAACTGTGCCATGATCTCTTGTGGCTTTTTTCCCTCCATCCATTTAATTAAGCCTGTCAAAAATGACGGCATCATCGAAAATTGATACGTGATTTGAACGGAAAATGGCACGAGACAGAAAAAAGTCGGCAGGATTATTTTGTACGTTTGTAAAATTGCAGATTGCATAAAATTGAATTGAAGAGAGAGCACCAAATCCGAGTGATATACATATTTTGAGAGGTCACTAGGTCGTCCAGGCATTTTGTGTACTGTTTGATGTGCAAGAGAGAGCTGTTTGGAGCGCTCTCGCTGAGACGCTCACTCAGCCCCACCCGACTATCGCGAGAGTCGTCCATCTGTGTGTAGCGATTTTCACTGCTGCTGCGACGGCCACTCTTACTGAGTGCTCATCGCAGCTTCAACAACAATCCATTCGAAAATTTCGTCGACTGCTGCCGTTTTTACAAATTTTCCGTTTCTTCGCTTTATTCCACATACATTCTTCACTCATACTTCAAATATAGAGAGCGAAAAAAACATAACGATGCTCCAGTATCAGCAGTAGCAGCAACCGAGCGACAATGTGTGAGAGAGCAAGAATATCACTCTGTTCGGTGTGTTTGGTGTACGATTTGATATGTGCGTTCGAATATGCTCTCCTTTATTCCTCACTTTTGCAAACGGTGTACTCAATGCGCAGATTCCATCGGTGGATGAGAGAATATGTGTATTTTGAAGAATTTTTCGATATGCGTTTGCTCATCGCTTCGCTGTTCCATTCATTCTCTCGGCAGTCAGAGCAAATTTACAATTCGGTAACGAATGTTTTCTCCGTTCGTTCCCTGTGCTCGTTTCGAATCCTTTTCTGCAAAAATTCTCTCACTCTCGCGCATTATCATTCCAACGGGGGGTTTACACCAAACAAAATTGTCCAAGTCGCTGAAAGTAATTTTCCGAATTTTGTTTTTCCACACAAAGAACCAAAAAGACGAGGCATTTTTTTCTGGTCACGATTTTTGACCTGAGAAATACTGTTTACTCTCACTCTGTGATATTGTCTAGTTTTATATCTAAAAAAAAACATCGACTTTAAATTTTAGCAGAAAAAAAATCATCAAACATCGAATCATTTTACGTCCTATTTTAATCATCACCAAAGAAAAAAAAAAAAGAAAACCATCGCATCATTCACATCGAATGGATTCAATCTCATCATACATTTTTACCGATTGTTAAATGACATTTTAATTGACTTTTAACACATTCTTTTATTGGATGGCGTTTTATGACCGCGCGTCTGTAGTCTTTCACATAAGTATGATATAAAAAAAAGTGTGGATTGATTGAAAACGACGCTGTGTGCTTCACGCTATAGATTATTTTGGAGAAAGAGAGAATGCGATAAAAAAAAAAAGCTGGGCAGTTCATCGAAACAGTTGATCGAAAAACGTTTAAAAATAAACTGACATAAATAGTTTCTAATTGACTGAACGCAAAAAGCCAAGTGAACGGGAAAAACAAACATTTTGAAAAAAGAAAAACAAAAGCATTAAAAGCGAGGCGGTTTTGTGCGTGTGTTTCGAAGATGGGTGGACCGGATTCGAAAATATCCACCGTTGATGTGGAAAGTGGCGACAATATGGCTACGTTGCCTGTATCGCGCGCTCACACTAGCAGCACCGATACAGCTGAAAAGAATAATGCGGCCAATAAGGAAATGGAACTGAAAAACGTTATGCCAAAACCGTTGGAAAGGTATATTTCAACCCACAAATTACCAAAAACTACCGACTCATCCATTTATTATATTCAGATTCTCGTAAATATAGTTGAGGGCTCTCGAATCGGAACTGAGCGTTATGATTTTCGGTTTTCTTTTTCCTTTCGATAGGAAATGAGAAAGGAAATTTATTTCCATGTCACTTTTTCTTTCGTTATTAACAACTGTTTCTTTTTTTGTTGTGAAATCCACTTTTGGTGTCATTTCTTATCACTTTTTGTGTTTGTTTTTCATCACGTTTTGTGTTTGTTTTTCATCACGTTTTGTGTTTGTTATCACCTTGCGTGAACTTTTGTTAGCACAAGACTTAATCGTAAGAAGCGTTTTCTTCACAGGCGACACATCTAACTCACAACACATTTGAGCTTGATGGCGTTTTTTTTTATAACTAATCAAATAATACATACTATCATACAATGCTTTTGAGAGTTCATGCCAAATCACATATGTGCATTTTAAAAACACAAACCAGATACCAAATCACCAATTACACTCGCATATATACAAATGACAGCGTTTAGCGCTAGCGCAGATTTTTAACTCAATAACCTTTTGATTATTTACCACAAATTTTTTTCTCGCATTAGAACAGATTTTAGATTTTGGTTGTTTTTCATTTTTGCCATTCTCATAACGGTTTTCATCTTGATTTCATCAATCAATCGATTCGAACATGGTTCCATTTATGTTAACATTTTTTTGATTTTCCTTTCAGAACTTCATTATTCATTATCACCAGTTTAATGTATGCCATGCTACTGATTGTTGTATGCGTCGCATACGTTATTTCTGATGTTAGCACTCATCGATTACCGATCGTTTACTATGAAGGATATTTTACATATTTGTATGGGGCTAGTATTTTGTTCCTGCTGTATGTCTTTTGCTTTTTGTTGCAAGGTAAATTTTGATCAAATTTTTTTCTCATTTTAACCAAACACATCACGTTTTATGATGAGACACAGTATACTCTTCTTCTTTTCCGTTTAAAATTCCAAACGAAAGAGTGTCAGTTTCAAATTGAAGAATTTCTATTACTTCACGTTCTGTATGTTTTTTCTTTTCATTCCCGTCGCGATAGTTTTGCTAAATAATGGGATTTTAAATAGGCTGGTGTCTCGCTGCAAATGTCAGATTATGAATGAAACGCAGTAAATTTGAAACAAATCGTTCTGAGTTTCAAAACAAAACGATCTTCATTATCAATTAAAATGTTTTATCTACTCATTTTGTTTCAACTTTACCGTGATTTTCCCATCAATGAGAAAACATTTGCATGAAGTCATTCCCACCATTCAAATCTTATGCAAACAGCTCACCCCCCAGAACATTCCGAGCGCGCGAGCGCGCACATCAAAACTCTTATGAAACTGAGTCAACATTCCATTGTTTTAATCCAACCACTCAACAACAGCAAGCACACTTCCATTTCATTTCCATTTGCGACAACACTTCATCTTCATAAATTGAGCATTTGCAATTTTAACTCCACCTTCACCCTACCCTAGCTCCAATTCGGATAGCAAGAGTTCGTTTTATTATTATATACAAAACAAATTCGGAATGCAACATTTTTTCAAGCACATCTCTTATGTTTCTTATACAAAATAAAATAAAATAAAATTTATTCATATCCAGCAAATGCAACCTCAAAACGAATGACTTGAACACTGTTCCATGAAGTGGTGAATGTTTGTTTTTCTGTTTCTCATATCAGAAACAAAAACTTTTTGATAGTTTGGGTAGAGAATTAGAGAGGTAGTAATTAGCTACTAAATAAACTGATTGCATTTGGAATACAGAGAGCACTTGCTGCAGTGGCGGTTCAACACCAAAACCACCGAAGCCGGTTAAAGAGAAGAAAGAGAAGCCCAAAAAGGAGAAGAAACCGAAGAAGGAAAAAGGCGCACCGGCTGAAGGTACTGCTGCTGATGCCAAGGAAAAGGACCCCAAATCAAGCGGAAAAGAAAAGGAAAAGGATTCCGGCAAAGCCAAACCAACTGTTCAGGTACAATACATCATCAAAACAACACTCTTCATTCGTTTTTCTTATTTTATTTCGCCAAAATTTTATTTTCAATTTAATTAATTTTTTTTTTATCGAATTGCCATTGCACCAAATTAAACCAAACATTTGCACAACACAAATTTTGGGTAAATCGCATTTTAATGCTTTTCGGCATGAATGGTTATGAATGTGTACATTTTGATTGATGACAATGATTAAAGGAAGGATTGCCACGAAGGCAGCGCGATGTGGTGCGGGAGCGAATACAATCCCTTACTATACAGGTGAGACTACTGGTGTGCGGGTTGATTGTGTGAATGCGAGTTTTTAAAAGTGAGAGAGAGAGAGAGAGAGAGAGAGACAAAAAACGTACTTTAAACTAACAACAGTCGAGTGTGACGAGTTTTTCGGTTCCATTTCTAACACGTTTGCCCATTCCATATTGCATGGTTTTTTTCTTTTGAGTGAAGATTGACTTCCGATCCAATCAGCCAGCTTGAGGTTACTAATTTTGTTGCAATTATTTTTGAAACAGGAAGCACCAGCCGAACCCGAAGTCGTTGTCACTCCTAAGAATGTTCAACGAAAACGGAAAACCACACACGCCGACCCAAGCTACGGAAGTTTCTTTTTGCGTGTTGGAGCTATTGGTATGTTTCTGATTCGAAAAAATTACGTGTTAATTTTTGAGACGTTTGCTTTTGAATTGGCATATTGATTTACTTTCCATTTCATTTCGTTAATAGCATTCGGTTTGGGGACTCTTATATATGTCGGATTGGAACTTGGCTCATTCTTCGGTAAATCGCATTATATCATTGCAATATTCTACAATTCGATTTTATTCTACCATTTTCAATTCCAGAAATACCCTTCGATTCACCATGCCATCAAATTTTACGTGGTGTAAATCCACTGTTGCAAATGATCTTCACCTTTATGCAAATGTATTTCATCTTCATGAATGCACGCGTATGTATCAGTTCATCGAAAAACTTCAGAATTTAAAAAGAAGAAATTAAAAAAATCCTACTTCTTCGCTTTTCAGTTGAATATCCACCGCTTCAAAGTGTTGGCTCGCTTTGGATTGATGCACATTTGTGCTACCAACATTTGTGTATGGATTCGAACCTTGGTATTGGAATCATTGAAGGAAATCACTATTTACTATAAAAAACGTCAGGCACTCTCTGATGAAGGCGTTTTGCTGGACTCCATCCGTTCGCATACATTGAAACATTCTGGAACTGTACTAGGAACTCACTCAGGTTTGCAATTAATCTTCACTTGAAAATCAATTCAAAATTGCCAATGTATTTTCACACAGGTCCACACCCAGAATGGGAACCAATTGACTTGCGTGTACGTGACGGATCGAATGATGATATTTTGACGAAGGCATTGAACTCAACCGCTCGTGTTGCTTCAAAGGCAGTATCAAGATCTGCATCATACTTGGCTGCTGATGCCACAACTCAGGAAACTCCAATAGCAAGCGGCGAACTTGAAACCACAACCATTTTCAAAAAAGTCAAGAAAATCCTCAGCACTGCTGCTTCGTCTACAATCAGCTCGACTCTACCAAGTACCACAACAACAACGACCACCACCACAACTACTACCACAACACCGGCACCAAGCACATCAACATTCTCACAATTGACCCAATCATCATCACTTGCCTCGTCAACGGTTCAAACTATTGTCACTGATGCAGTCACTTCGACCAGTTCACCGGCTTCTGTGTTCAACAACCCATTGGGTGGACTGGAAAACGCTTTCCAAACGTTTTCCGGATTGTCACACAATGAAACCGATGTCGAGAGCTTAGATTCACTCATTCCACAAGCATTGCTGGCTTCGGCTTCACCTAGCACTAACTCGAGCTGTGGCCGTGTCAACATTATGGGAACCATCGTACAAGATTCAGCTCCATACTTGTATCCATTCATTGTTGAATACTCATTGATTGGTGAGCGTTTTGAACATTTCTTTTCATTTCAAACTAAATTTTTCTTCTTTCTTTCATGCATATTCACCATGATAATGAATAACAGTTTCCTGCTTAATTTGATAAAATAACGAGTATGTTCATTTATCTGTTTCCCAGGTGCTGTTGTTATTTATGTGATGTGGAAACACATTGGCCGCTATGCAAAGGGAAGTGAAGAAGATTTGGAGCATCGTTTGGAAGTGATATTGTCACGTCGTGCTGTTGCAATGGCTCAACGATCGCGTTCGGGTCGTGTTGATTGTGTTGGATCATCGAAGGGACTCTTCTTTGGATTGTTGGCACTGGTCGCTTCGCTCATTTGCTTGATTCTTTTCTTTGTCTTGGTTGTGAAACCACCATTCAACCGATTGGCCGTTTTCCTTGCTGATTGTTCGCACGGTGGCATTTTGATTCTATCAATTTTGGCTATTTTGATTGGCTTCTGTCGGTGAGTTTTTATGGCAAATTTAAAATCATTCATTTCAGTTGAATTTCAATGATTGATTTGAGCTGTGTAATACTGAAGCATAAACATATGATAAATTCAAATATATCCTCGTATCTAAATCATCTGTTTTCCATTTTCAGTGTATCGAAGTTGAAATTCCGCTGCGAGGAAACTGGCAACCTGAACGACATTCTATTGCGTATTTCGGCATTTGGTCTGTTCATCTACTCGGCATTCAGCATCATTGCCGGTGCATTAAATCTATTGGAAAGTGAACCAAATCTGCTAGTCACCGTCACCAGTTCCGTTGTTGTTCTTCAAGTCGTATTGCAATTGCTGTTCATTGCCGATGTTTCAAGACGTCGTGTGCATTTACCGGAACATGATCGCACCAAACCAGGCCGACAAGTTGTCACTTTCCTTCTCATCGCGAACGTCGCTATGTTCGCCATTTATACATTCGAAGCACAAAAAGTTGCTAACAACCCGGTAAGTGCATTGGCCATTTTTTCAGTTTTAATATCTTCTCTCTAGCTGCTTCAGGCTTCGCTAATGAATATGAACGCATTTTCTAATACTAATCAAATGTGTTAATTTTGCAGGTTCAACTCGATTTCTACGGTTACATTGGTTGGGCATTGATTCAACGAGTCACTCTGCCATTGTGCATATTCCATCGATTCCACAGCGCTGTTACACTAGCCGAAATATGGAAGACAACCTACAAAGCACGCTTAGAGTAAATTCACAACTACCATCATCTCCACCTCCACTAACCAAAAACGAAGAGAGAAAAACATAAAAAAAAACCATTCAACAAAGTTCGGTTGCTTAAAGCACACACGAAAAGCAGAGGCATTCAAAGAGAAAAAAAGGATAAAACCATTTTCTCCGTTTGCTTCGAAGCCGTTTGTTGCATAAATTTAGGCATTTATTAAAAAGGAATGTGTGTGGAGTCGGTAAAAAAAGAGAGAGATACAACCAACTGGACGAACTCATAACGCTTAGTTTCGGTCCAAATGAAACATTTTTAAATTTTTAAAACATACATATTCACAAGAAAAAGTAAAAACAAAACAACAACAAATCGAGTCAACACATTTAACACATTTATATACGTATATATATAAAAGAAAACAAAAAAAAAACTATTAATTTCTTTGCAAAGTCAATATTTATAGATGGAAATAAAAAAAAAAACAAAACAAACTATATGTGTGGTTACAGATTGCGCGAGCAAGTGAATAGTAATACAAAACAAAGTAAAAATGAAAAGAAAATTTATTTATTAATTTTCAACACAGTCTTTTTTATATTGTATTTAATTTAAGATGTGATTTCAAGCGTTTTCAAAGCAAATATTTTACGTTTAAATTTTACCACAGCAAAAGAAAGAAAAAAAAATAGTTAGAATTTGTATAAGACAAATAAATTGGATTCTTTTTTCTCTTTTCAACTTCATTTTGTTTGGAGCATTTCATTTCAAATTCACAAACACAAGTAATTAGACACCATTTTTATGCGAGAGTTAAAACAAAAAAAAAACATCAGTCTAACTAATTTTTAAGCATAGTAATTGATTAAGAATTTAAGCGTCGAAAATATCTATCTCTAATGGTGAATGAACAGTGAACACACTTCGTCGGCCCGGTTAACTGTGCAATTTTCTTTCGTTTTTGGCAAAACCACAAGAGCAACATCTGAAATAGAAACGATTCAATCATTGAATTTCAGTGTAAGATCGACAATCTTGCAATGAATTCTGAGAAAATTACATTCATTTTTTGCTAAAAACTGAAACCGACCGTTGCGCCGATTGACAAAACATGTGTTCAAAATAAACTTAAACTAATTAGGCATAGTGCGAGAGTCTGTCTACCCAAAGACACAAGAATCATCCACACACACACACAGGACACAACGCAAACCACTCTAATTAAAATAATACACTTTGCGAACACTATCTCTCTCTCTCGTGAAACACAACAGAACCAACTTTCAAAAGCCAATAGATTAAATTAAACGTATAAAAAGCAACAACAAAATATTTAGAAACATTCATAACAGCATCAAACAAAAAATAACATCAATAATATACCGTAATTAAATGCATACAGAACAAAACAAAAATCACATATAAAAGAAATACACCCATAAAAATGGAGCAAAAGCAACAAAATACATCGTATTTGAGTAAGAATCTAAGAAATTATTATTGTAACTGATATTTCCGAATAAATAAACAAAGCAAAAAAACATTCAGTAAAACAGACAAAAAAGTGAAACAAACGAATGATATGTACTTAAAGTATAGAATTATATGACACAGAAAAAAAGTTAAAAAAAAATTGTTCTCATCCATGTATTAGGTGTGTTTTTAGAAACATAAAAATAATAAAAAAAATAATTTATTTAATGAACAATCGCGTCACGTAGATACACAATATTCTTATTTTTTTGTTCTATTTTTTGACGTCCCTTTTTGAATCCGAATTGGAGTTTTGGTTTTCAACCATGGTCGATCAAGCAATTGCCTGTAGGCAATATGTTTTTTTTTGCTACGCATAGCGCTTATGTTTTGATCAAAATGAAGCAATTTACTAGAAATCTCCTTTCTTTTGGTGACTAAGTGATATATTTTCTAAACCACGTTTGCACCCGAAACGCTAATTTTGTTATTAGCATTGAAATCAGCCAAGATTTCATTTTGATGAGCCATGAAAAAGCATCTTTGTAGCTTAAGCATTCGATCCTGGTTTCGGCTGGCTGTATGCATCAGAATAAATTGTCACATTTACACAATTCACTAGTTGCAGTGTCGACACAGCGTCGTCACTGGCAGTTTTTTTTATTAACAAATTTTGAACAGAAATGATTCGTAGAAAGTTCGAGCAACAATATATAAAAAAAATAACAAATTTTCGCATTTTTAACGCTTACAAATTTTCAAAATGTTTCGAAAAAAATCTCCTTTTAAGACGGAAAAAAAAAGAATTTTTACATTTTTACACCAGCAACAAACAAATTTTTTGCGCATTAGTATAGACAAAGCGTAGAAATTCGTTAAAAGCAACTTTCCAATGCAGCGATATATTTTCACGCGCGTGAAGCAATAGAATTCCCACATTTTTTTAGGCTTGAACACCAACAAAATCGCACATTTGATCCATGCAGTCGATGCAAATTGCTTGTGAAATATTCGCGCCATTTTTTTAAACACACTTTTCCTCTTTGTAATCGAATCATTTCTTTTTGCAAACTAAATTTGTAGTAAACGAAAAGGAAGGCGAACATAGAATACGCATAAAACGCCATTCGTAATTCGGATTACCAATTTTTAAGCGTTATAGCCGATGATTAAAAAGAAACAATTTTTTTTTTCACACTTTATGTTTGTTGGCATGTAGATGATAAAAAGCAAAATGATAAACAAATTCGTATTTATATAACCAACATATTCCAATGTGGAAGAGATATTGTAATACCAATTGTAGTAAACAGTACCATTTGCATTTAAATGAAACAAAATACCAAAAAACAACATCAACTGACACACACACACACACACATGGAACTTAACATTTATTGGATAGTCATTCGTATAACCATTTACATTTTGCTGTAAATAAATAAAGATTTCAGTCATATTTCCCACCAAAAACAAATTCACAACAAACGCATTTCAAAATGACAAACACCCATACTCTCACACCCACTCACACATTTTCAAGCTTTGTGATCCTCATCCGATCTTTGATACATTTGATACCGATTCACACCATCTCTTTCAATCTCTTGTGTAGGAATCAACAGAATCCGCTTCATCGACGTACAACTTTTTAGAAAATAAAAAAATTCATTTACATGTTGACATTTACCTATATCAATTCACAGGCGAACGAACAAAAAGAATACGCATTAGATTTCATCAACAAAAATAGAGGCATTCAAAACATTTTCCCTTTAAACATAGATGACAACCAACATATTTATAGTGTAAGTGCGTAAAGAAATCGACATACAAAATTCAATGTTTCCATAATCCTACATACTCACATAGTGTTTAACGAACAAAAAAAAAACATTCGTCAATCGTCCATGAATTAAGGAGGTAAAATACATAGTAAAAAACAAACAAATGAGCGCGCCCCGATCAGGCGAACAAATCATAACCCACCAAATTCATTTCGATTTTTACCGAAAAGAGGTTTTTTTCGTACTCAAAACTGACAAACAATGCGGAAATTTTATTTCCCACTCCGAGGACCATACACAAATTCACATTTCACACTTTTTTAACATCACTTTTTAAAGGCATTGTTTCAATGTGACCAACAAACCATACACGAACCAAATGGTTAAGTTTCATACCAATGGTTTGCATTTTGTTGACATCTTAAAATAACAACAACAAAAACGAAATGAATTGCGATTTTCATTTTCCTTTGTAGATTGTTTGCAAATTTTCACTAGAATACTTTTGTGCATTGATTTCGAATCGGACAAAAACAACAACAACAACACAAAACCATCTGTAAATCAATAGCCAACCATGAATGGGAAATTGTTACAAAATATTTAGTATAAATTTAGCATTTCTCAAATAGAACACAAAAAAGCAAACGCTTCAGTATGAGAAAACCAAAACTAAATAAATTACAAAACCAAAATCTGTTTGATATGATTCAAACGTTACAGTACGAATCATGCTTTCAATTATGAACAACTACCAACCAACCAACTAAAACAAATACATTACCAGAACTCTATCTAATACAGATCGATGATTACAAATAAATTGTGGAAAGAAACAAAATATTTGTGTGTTTGCTGGCATTATTTCATTTTTCGTTGGACTTTTTCTCTTTCTATTTGGAGTAGGTGACCATTTTCAGCCACAATACTTCAGGTGCTTTATGGAATTCAAGTTTTCGATGGAGTTTCTACTGCCAATAATACTTTTCTCTTCGAAATATGCAAATTTTCCATTCAAAATACGCGTTTTCGATCAAGCGGCATTAACTCTTTTGATGAAATAAAAAAGCAGCACGAGTTGATTGATTCCTTGTTCTTCGCAGCCCGTTTCGCGTTATTGTTTGCCAAAAGTGTAAATCATGTTAAATTGTTTAAAAATTAGCGGTTATCCAACGCTAATTATAGTTGATTACGTTAGGTTTTTTTTTCGTTGGTTGCATCGTTGCTAAATGAACATCTCTTCTATGCAGTTTGGCAGCCGCTGAATGGCAGTCTATTGTGATGTGTTGTCGGTCGCACTTTAAATTATAGATGAAAGACAACAAGCGAACAATGTTTTTCTGCTCTCGTTTCTATGGTGTGTCGGCAGCGCCCAAGGCACTGGCTATGTATTCTAATCGATATTTAAGAACAGCTTTTAGCATGACGAGCACGGCATAAACATTAATTTTGTGGCGTAACAATCAATTTTTTGTGGCAAGAAAAATCCAGTAAAGGAAAAAAAATCGCATCACAAATCATTTTCCGTTGATATACATCATCATCTATTTGTCGCACGCTCGCTGTTGAACAACCATCTTCGAATCAAGTACTATGATTAAGGGTCATTAACGACGCAGAAGTGTGGAAGTTAGCCAAATCCACGCATATTACATCTTCGTTCGGATAAATATTTGCTTTCGGCATGATCACATTGAAATTTCACTCGCGCCAATATCAGGTGATGGCATCACTGTGATACAAACACATGCCGGCATTTTTAAAACACCACAAACATTTTTCGGGCAAGTTCAGATCGTGTTGATTAAAATCAATAAGCCGTTGCTGTTAGGCTACATAGAACGTCTTTTGATATGAAATACGTATACCCATTGTCTCTTATAAGAGACTAAAATGAAAGAAAAAATTCCAACAAAAAATCACGTGAAGGCTCAGAAGACTAAGAAAAAAGTTAAATTCCTACAAGTATCCTATTCAATGAAACGCATTTTTTTTGGAAGAATTTTATTACAAAATAATTACAAAAATAATTTATCGCATAGGGTAAGTCCTGTTGAACGGTGAGTAAGTATGCATTACATGATTTTGCTACGTAGTTTGTGCATCTAATAGTAAAAGTACGGAAGGAAATGTCTAGAAAAGGGAAAGTCTCTTAAAATTGGTAACTGAAAGAAGTAAAATCAGGTGGCTATTCGATAACTGCGTCATTTGTATGTTGACACATCATTGTGTCATGTATCGCTATTCAAAGTATACAATAAGTGCAATGAACCCTGTTGTTGAGTAAATACACACTGTCTGTGTGTTACCACAATTGCGTCGTCCACCAACTCGGGCTCTTTGGTAAGTTTTGAAAAGCGGTTGTGAAATCAGCCGTCGATTGGCTTTGTGATGTGCCAAAAATACTGCCTTTGAAGTATGCGCTTTGCGGAGTTGCCTTTGTGGAAAAAACGGCTGGCAATTTTGTGCCGTAAGATTGTGCGGAGAGACTGTGCGGTTCTCGTACATCGTACGAAATCAACGGTTGAACTGGTGAAATTTGGGCGATTGGTGTGATTTGTGAAATCTGTGTAATTGGTTGAAGCGGCACTTGAAGTGCTTGTGCATTCAACGGTTGGTTGATCGACTGTAAATTTTGCAGAGATTGTGGCGACGCAAGCGGATTTGTATTCAGAGATTTAAATGCGCCCAGCCCGTTGCCAAAGAGATTTGTGTTTGGTTTGGACGACAGTATCGAATTCAAACCGAATCGACTGGAAATTCGATTGGTTAGGTCACACGTTGTGCCACTGACCAATGTTTGTAGCGGTGCCGAGTAAATGCGGAAGTTGACATCGTTGTAATCTAAATTGGAAATTAGGAAGTTTGCCATGCGATCAGAAATGACCCACACATTTCGATTTTCATCAATTTTCACATCGGACGGGAAAATCAATCCTTCATCGTCACGATCGACGGTACCATGATTTTGTGGAGTGTACGGCATTGATGTGTGCCAACAACCGACCGCATTTTGATCAATCAAATTGAATAACATTATGCCGTCATCGCTACACACCCGAGATGTTGTGTGTGAATTTGCACCTCTTTCAGTCGGGAAGAAGAAGAAATCGTGATAGCTATCATCCACACGAGATTCATCACGCAAAATGCGAGTAGATACGGAAAATTCACGATGACTTGCCAATGGACTGAAGAATAGTGTACGAAAACCGTCGCTTCGTACTGGGCTAAGAGCCATTCCGAATATACCTTCTTCTCCCCATTGGAAATTCAAACCACCAATATTAAAATCACCACGTAAGGGATCCGGATAGAAGTAACTGTGCTCGAAACGCCATGAACGATTCTGCTCCCATGAATATCTGTTGGAATGGAGAGAAAAAGGAAAAAAAAAAACAGATCAAAAACAAATTTATGATAATTTCGAAATTTTGACAAAACAATTTCATTTTACAAATCAAATCAACGGGAAAAAGTCAATCTTACGCAATTAATCCATAGCCAAGCTCATCGCTAAAGTAAGCAAATGTGTCTTCACAATTCTTTCCGATGTCAATAGCTGTGTTTGCGATGAATGTATTTGCATTTGTATCTTCCGCTCGGAATTCATAGCGCCTGATGCGAGTATTCGTTGCCAAATCAAACACATTTATGCTGTACGGGCACACATTCTGCGTTGTATTGCCAATACCAATGGTTCCTGTATCTAAAACCCATAATCGACCGCATCGATCCGCTTTGATGCGATAAACAGTGTTCAAACCATTCACACAATCACCAACTGCATTCGAACGCCAATCTGGGTACGGAATCAATTGCGGAGATCCACTTATCGTTTGGGTGGTATCGATGTAAGTCAATGTTGCCGGAATGCCTTTTTTTGCAAAGAAAATTGACCGAATTAAAATTTTTTGTGTGTCAGAGCTAGAGTAATTTGTATCTGGCTGTTTTTTTTTAATTTTCGCTCTAAGAAATTATACGATTTTTTGTCAAAAAGATTGAGTGAGAAATGACATTTTTAATACATATTCAACACTTCATGTGATGCTAATCATTAAAAAAAAAAGTTCAACATAAGCAACAGGTTTTCTTTTTCGAAAATAACTCGTTTCCAATTAAAAACCTGCTCAACATTTTTTGCGACTTATTCGTTGCGCATTCTTGGTCACTGACAGGCCAAAGACAAAATAAATGATAATATTTTTATAAAAAACCGAGACATTCTCATAAAAAAACCGATCAAAACAAATCCAGATAAATCAAGATACACTTCGGTCCATAAAAACGCTTTTACAATTAAGGCGTTAGCTCAATCTAAGTGTTTACGAAACGCAACAATCGTTTCATTTTGTGAATGTCACGTGACAAGTAGATCAAATCCATTCGAGTTTTGTTTTTGGACAAACCGAAAAATAGCTACCGTTTATAGCATTTGAGCTTGAAGTATTTCGCGAAAATGTTAAAACACCAGTTTGATCTGAGACATGCACAAGATCGAATCATGATCTGATGGAAAGTGTAGCATTTTTTGGAAGTGATTGATGGACATAAATGTTCGTCAACTTGTTTTATTCAATTCAAAACAAATCATTTAATTCACAACTTAACCTGTGAGTGAAAATTTAATTAAATTGAGACTTCACACTATCTTATGGGCTTCATATGACACCCATAGGATGAAAAAAGAACTTCTGAACTCTTTGCCGATAAATGAAATGACAAAAAACTTAGCGGAAACAACTTCCGTTGAGCGGAAAACAGGTTTTTCTCATTTTTCTCGCTACTGGAAAAAGATAGCGACTAGGTGTCTTCGGCAATATTGTAGAAAATGGAAATAACTACAAATAAGCCGAAGACACCTAGTCGCTGTCTTTTTCCAGTAGCGAAAAAAATGAGAAAAACGTGTCTTCTGCTCAATGCCCACTTTAGCTCGCAACTCCATTTGTTTCTTGTTTGCTCTAAGTTTTTTTTCGTTTCATTTATCGGCAAAGAGTTCAGAAGTTGTTATTTTGTTCTTAGGCTGTCATATGATAATTATCATATTATAATCAGCAATAATATCATTTAGATTAAATGTTCTTGCAATTGGAAAATTGAACATTGAACATTATCTAGTGGTCAAACAAGTAGTTCGTACATAGGTTGATAGTGTAAGAAAATTCGTGGCGCATGAACAATTTTTGCATTGACATATTTGTTGGTAATTAGAGGGCTTTCAAATTTATTGATTGCGTTGCATTGAAAAATAAATACATAGCATTGAAACGATATTGAATAACTGCGCCAGATCAATCAAATAAGAGTGGCATTCAATTGAATTTTTGTCGTAAGAACTTCGATTCAAATGTCATTTGTATGGGATCAATGTATTTAATTCGAAGTAAATTAGTGTAATAAAAATAGGATTTTTTAACTGGCAACAGTAATTATGTTTTTTCCGTCAAATGATGTCAATTTCGCAATGAAACTCATTTAACATATCACAGTTTGAAACGGTGTTTTTTTTTACCAGAAAAAATTTTCTTATAAAAATTCACCTGACAATTTGATTGTTAATAAATTCTTCCATAAAAAATAAATTTGAATGCAGTTTCGAGGTATACAATTATATTGCGTGCATAAAACGTTTATCAAATCAAGAAAATATGTAGAGAGTAATAATCGTTGTGGTTTCTAGTTGAGTCAACATTCAATTCATTTGGATCGCATATTTGCGGTTGTTAACGGCTGCAACAGTGGTAGAGCAAGTGAAATAAAACACGTCTGGTTTAGTTGGAATGTAGACTGTATATAAGAGAGTTTATCACTGTTGCAGCCGTTAACACGGTTTTGATTTGTTTTGATTGTAGAAGAAAGTGAAAAGAGACTGCAAAATGGACAAAAATGCTCACTCCAATTGATTGGAACTGAGGCGAAAGAGCCATAGGTGGCCGTTGCATGTTTCAAATGCTTCAATTCCGTCTCTAATTTACTGTAATTTTGGTTGCAAACATGTCGATTTTTGCTGCACTGTTAAAGGTGTTAACGAATATATTACCAGAGCATTCATCTCAATTTGAAGCGTTTAACCAATTATCACTTTTTGCTTTCATATCTCCTTTGCGAAGGAAATACAGGTGTCGAGCCTGTCACTGGCAGGTCTTATAATGAGAGACTCAAGCGTGACACACGAATAACGGTAAAATGGCTTTTCAAGGAATTTTTGGTCGTGTTTAATGCCAGAAAAAATGCATTTGCTTCACTTTTGGACTAAGAATAATTTTGACCTCCAATCCAGAATCAAGATCAGTTGAAAATGCAACTTCAGGATTTCAATTTGGATAAAATACACCTTTTCAAATATTGAAATTTTCAATGCAGGTCAATGATATTAACACGTACAACAAATTGATACATTTTTTTTTTCTGAGAAATTTGAGAATCACCCAGAGCCCATCAATTCAAAGTGGAAATAAATGTGAAAAATTTAAATGTAAGCGAAAAAATTAAATCGACTGAATAACTTTTATTATTCAATAAGTTATTCGTTATCTGTTCATTAAATTTTTTTACAATGCAAAAAATATTTTATTGGAATCGATCAATAATATTAAAAACAGGCTTTCAATTTGTGCCCATCAGTCATAATATTTTCTATGCTTTAACTCTTGAATAAATGTGTGTATCATGAAAATATTTATAACACCCGAGAATAAGAAAAATCGTGATATTACCGTCTCTCCAGCGCGGCACAGTAACAAATAATTTATTGCCCCAATGTTCGATGCCTACAGGTAGTGCATTTTGCGGAATGTATGTGCCCGATGCGAGTGCAATATCTTTAAGCGTTCGTGTTGGAAAAACGAAATCCAATTGATTCCAACTGTAGCGCTCTTCTAATTTAAAAGCAGCGTGTGACAGTCCAAAAAACGCTGTAAAACACCAAAAAACCACACTTTTCATGTTCAAAATCATTTCCAATTCAAATATAATTGATTTCGATTTGAGTCAATTTAAACTTTAATCGAAAATTCAATTCCAATTAACTGTTTTGTCAACTGCACGCTCCGTTTTAAGTGAGAATGATTAATTCTAATTTGTTCGAATTTTCAGAATTTTTTTTTCCACTTCACTAAATTTCCGACGTTTTTCTTCGATACGAAGTGTCGTTTCAGTAGTACCTATTCAATGGTTCTAAGTGGAATAACTGTGTGAGTTGACGGTGAGCCGCCTTTAATAAATTAACCAAAATCAAATCCCCACCGTCTGATGACGACGACAACGACTTGGTTTGCGCGCCAAATATAGCATTTGCAATAAGCACAAGCGTCTTTGAAGCCATAGAAGCAAGTGCGTTTGTCAAACTGAAGAGAAAAAAATCAAACCGCCATGTGTTCGACTGAATGCAACTAAAGGCCGTTATCAAATTGCGTGTAGTAATCGCATGGCTCCATAAAAAAGTAGGCTGTAGTTGTGTGTTTTTCTCAACACGAATACTAGCTAATAAACACTTGTACCGACTGAACGAATCGCGTGCTTCAATAAACTCCGAACGTAAACAAAGCACAATTATGGTTTGCAAAAATATAACCCAAGCATTCTATGTTGAGTGTTTAATCAGATGGAATGAAAAGAGAAGATAAATATAACTCTGGCTACCCGAGTGAACCAAAGAAACGGTTCATAAGGCATCTAGACTTTTGCGTATATCTTGCGTATAGATGCATTGGAGCGAACGAATATTGTTATTGTTTTTGTTTTGCTGTAAACATTTGCGTTAGACAGGATGAAGAGAGAAAAAAACCATTCACTCCTATGAATGTATACACAAGGTATATGCAAAGGTGTTGATACCTTACGAACCGTTTCTACGTTTTACTTGGGTAACAATGGGTTTTCTGAGCAGACTAAGTCAACTGAATTATGCATATAGATGAGAAATGCAAGTCTCAGTACACGCAATTAAATGCCGGCTGGTTTTTTCCATCCCACTTGTTTATTGTGATTTGGTTTCCGCTTCCGATTTCGAGTTTGGCGACCATGTGACACTCCAAATGATATATCAATCTAAGAATCATACAGTAGACACAATGATCACTCTGTTTCGTGATGTTACATTGTTACATATGTTGTTTTATGCATCATGTGAAAGAAAGTGACCAAACTCTCTACGGAAGCAATTGCATGGGCTGAAATGGCAAAACGCCATAGTTTGAACAAATGAAAAAGTTTGTTGGGTAAATTACCAACAATCCGAACTTTCACATCAACTATTTTTCTTAATTTATATTCATTTTTTACCGTTTTCTGTCAAAAACATTCCACTTGATTCTGATTGCATGAGCTCCTGCTGCCAGACCACGCAAATCGCTACAAAAATGGTTAAGTATTTTCTTTACATAAATTGCGGTCCATATTCCACAAACCTCAACTGCATAATAGTGAAATTAATAGCCAGTCATTCGTGTAATGAGCAGTGCGTAGCCGTTGCGTTGCTTAATCGAATGAAACAATACCGTTCGGGAATTTTGCTTTTGGTACGATGAATGTGTTTCGAAAATAGAATGTCTTTTGTGATGTCGGATACAAAATATATTCGAATCAAACCAAATAATATTTACATATGTTTTTTTCTAAATGATAAAATGATGAAATAGTCCATTTTGACGTGTTTTTGCTTTCTATCATCACCCTCTGGCAAAATGAAGTCTGGTCGAAGAACCGGATCATTAATTTCGTAATTATTTTTTCAATCGTTTTTTTTTAAATATGAAATCGATAGTTGAAGAGTGCAAATTTCGTACGATGAGGAAACATGGGAAATTTAACTCTGCGTGTGAAGACCATAATTTGATGATGCGAATGCACGAATATTACTCGATTAGATGAAATTATCTGCGAATTAATGCCTACGAATGTGTAAATGCGAATACATAGTTGGTAAGTAAATGACATGTACACCTGACGCGAATGATGAACGAATTCGCGAATACTGGCGAATACTTGATATGAGTATATCGTCCGAATATCATGACATTTTTCGGATTTTTTATGACGATTTTCGTTTTGCTCGAATTCCATTAGTCAGTATTACATAATACTGACTTTTTATTGCTAAAATATTATAGCGATTCCATGAATAATTCGAGACTCAAATGCCCCTATGAGTGAAAAAATTCGCAAAGACACATCATTATACATTATAAATATAGAAAATTTGTTCAACATAAAACAAATTGAAGGTAAAAAATGAACCAAATGAACTTGGAGGTACAAGTGCATATTCAATTTACGCATGTTAACACTATCAATGCAGTTAACAAAATCCTGTTATTCCAGTAGCACAAACATATATTGATTCACACGCTTTGCGTTCCGCATGAGTACAAAACGTACGCTACGGCAGCACATGTGATAAATATCACTCAATCTCTAAGTCAAGTCCAGTTTTATTTTTAAATTGGATGGACACTTGAAACATTATACGTACACTGTACAGCCCAAAGTGTTTCCATGGAAATTGCTGCGGCCATTGCTTCTTGGATGCAATCATATTTGATTATTTCATCAAGTTTAATTAAAATATATCGTCGAACCAAATGTCTTGTACTTGAATGTATTTGCTCGTATTGTGAGCCTTACAATTGATGGCAACCTATAAAAGAATAACAAGCCTTTGCAATGAGGAACAATTTATAATTTAATCGATTTTTGACACAATCAGTCCGGTCGGAAATGTAGGTATGACGTATCAATTGCAATGTTGTCATACAACTGCCAGATAAATTGAATTTTACCAAGCAGAAAACAATTAAAAAATTGACGAGCCATCGTCTATTTGTAGCGTGGAAAACACTCATGTACATAAGTATATCGCAGGTAATTCGTACAATTGTTCAACAACATGTTTTTTCACACGTGAATGGCCATCGACTCACCGAGCATATATCTAGATGATTAATCAAGGTTTAACGAAGAACACGATGTTCATACATATTGTTATCTTCTGAACGAGATAAGAACAAACATTTCTTGGATCGATCCATTTTGGTTTGGTTAACCTTATTATGGCAGGTTTGAAAGAGAACGATGCCGACAAGTTAAATGTAAAGTAAACATTAGCGTAGTTCACAAACAATTCATACAACTATAATGCCTATTTAATTCGATGAAACTACTCACTTTTGTTTACAAAAAAAAAAACAAAGCCTCCACTTCACCACACACCAGATTTTATCAACTGAAAATGATAAAATAAAAACATAGTAAAAATTATTGAAGTGATAATAAAAAGTTTATTACATAAGCACTTAATTGAAAAAAAAAAATTGCAAACTGAAACATGTTGTTCTTCTTCGCAACGAACGTGAAATGGTGAATTAATTGATTTTTAATTGAAACTATTTTGCGTAAAAATTGTTTTCACATCAGGTGGGACATTCTTATGTACCCAATTCTGATGCAACAAAAACATGCACTGATTGAAGCTATGAAATGAATTTTATACGAAAATGTGCAGAGAAATGTGAATCTTATCTTTCATCAAAATCTCTTCTTGATTCTTGTTTCTCTTTGTTCCAAAGCATAAGCTCGAAATTTACGTTATTCAATCCAAAAAAAAAACGGTGAAAATATGGCAGTTTATTACAGTTTCCATATGCTGAATTATGACATTTTACATCAAAACTCAAACTAAATTTGCTGCAATATAGAAGTAAACTCAATTTTCATGCGAAACAACAGTTTAGTTCTTTAAAAACTCTATTAAAATGCAATATACAAAATAGACGGCACTGCAGTGTACTGAAAGAAGACATGCGATTTAATCATGCGTAAATTTAAATTACCTGCGAACAACAGTAAATCATACATCATCATTACAGAACTAATTCTATAACTAGTTAAATTGATTTATTTCAGTGTCAAAGTGGCTACATGGCTTTCTTTCATTGAAGCAAACAGTTTTCCGGCTGCTAAACGGAACAACGGAGAGCGAGAGTGAGACCATTTGTGCAAAAAGTGTTGAAGCACACAATAAACAACGTTCATTCAACCAGATGATTATGGCTGGTATTTTATAGTGCCATTTAGAACGGAGTGCGTATTACCATTCAGCAATGTAGTACAATGGGAAAAACCGGTCTTCAAACGGCACAAGTTGTTTGGCTGAATTTTTGTCATATGTGTGTACGAGACTTTAGCCTCCACATTGAAACGAACACAAAGTTATTACGTAAATTTGATTCATGACACTATGCTTGATGCGCACCGCACAGCATTCGAATTCACTTGGCATCACGTACACTCTTCGTTGCCTCCGAATTCCGCATTCAATGGAAATCGACCATAGACATCGTCTATCCACTTATGTGCTCTTATTCAACGCTTAACTGTGTCGACACTCAATGCAAATCATACGTACACCGATATGCAATGCACTGGTTCTGCATATTGCACGCTTCACGTGTTATTACTGTTAAGGTTAGTAAAAACAAATATATTTAATTGAAACTGACGTTATCTGAATTATGTTCGATTTGATTTGATTTTGTTTTGATTTATTTCTTTGATTCTGTTATGTTTTTTAATTGTTCTATCAAAGGGAACGATTCGATTACAACAGCAGAGATGGCGAATGATTTGCGGAACAAAATGAGAAAAAAGTTTTTCATTCCAGTTGGTAAAATCGTGCTGTGTATGGTTTAATGGCACCATAAAAAGATTTTTTTCTGATTAAAAACAAGTAAAAATATTTTATTTCTTCTATTACACTTGACCTTCCTGCAACTCCGGCTCAATTGTCAATAAAATATAATCATATTTTTCTAACGAGCGAACTAGTGTTTTGACTATGTTTCGGTTTCAATGCTACTTCAAATGGAGTCGATGATCTTTCTCGTCACAAGAACCATTGTTTATGCAGTGTTTGAAGTGCAGTCGAACGAAATAAATGAAAGATTCGAGCAATGGTATTTGGAAATTCCTGTTGGGTCGAAATGAAATACGGAGAAAAATTGATTGGCGAGAAACTGGACAATAACAAGGACAAAAAACAACGGAGAAGAGAAATAGGGAAAACCGAAGGAATTTCGTTCGAGCATTCAATAGAAATTGACGCAGGTAAAGAATTCCAAAAATAAAAGCAACTATGACGATGCACGATTTCTTCTCTAGTGGAATATTTGTGGATTGGTTAAGAATGAGAGATGTAGAGAAAC